AAATTTAAACTTAAAGCTCGACTAAAATTTTTCAATTACTATAATCATGTCAGGCAGATCTATCAAACCATAAGCGTTTTCTGTTCAACTTATTATTTAAGCAGAACAAGTGTATGTACATACTTATATATATATATATATACGAGGTGTGTTTAAAAAAAAGCAAGATTCGAAAATCAATGCAAATTGGAAAGTCACCTTATTTCCCAAGGCGAAAAAAGTTAAAGCTATATTTTTATGCCTAAAACACGAAAACCCAGAAATTAAAGGTTTACCGGCGTCTAATCTTTCTTTTGGAAAAATTTCTGCACAAAGTCATTGTCTATCTGTAAGGAATTTCCTATCAGTTTCATGTGCTTCGTTCAGTCTTCTTAATACAGCATTTTTCTTTCAAAGGCAAGCATATCAAGTTCGTACTAATGGAACCTCGTAGGCAATAGAAACTAAAAACTTTTCATAAATATTTCTTTCACTTTATATATATTATGTACTTGCATGTCTTTTGGTCATAGTACCTATAACCAAATTATTTTCCATCATTTTGTACAATATTTTGCCATATTTCTGGCAACGTTGCGATACCATGTCGAAAGAACGATATCGGTTTGGTAGATATCCATCGATCCATCGACCCATTTTTGGGCTTCTTCATAACTTCAAAACCCTTGCCAGCCAGGCCGTGTTGCATCGATCTGAACAAGTTATAGTCAGAAGGCGCTATGTCTGGCGAGTACGCTGGCTGCGATAAACTTTCGCATTCGAGCTGCAGCCGTATTTTCTTGACAAGTCTTGCAACGTACAGCAGAGCGTTGTCATGCAAGAGAAAAACTTTGCGTCTGTAAACGCTATTGCTGGTCGTTTTTGCAACAGCACACCGTTTAATTTGTTCAAGGAATATCGATAGACATCTGCAATAACAATGCCATTCGGTTTTGGCAGCTTGTACTACACCATACCTTGCTAATGCTACTGCATCCGCCATTTTATAGGGATCAAAACTTTACGCAGGATTTGAGAGATAATTTACATTTCAACAGTAGCCTACTTCCACTCAAGTAACTCCCAAGATCTGATTTAATTTTTAAAAAATACATTTTACTCTTAAATAGGGAATATGATCCCTAAATATTTTTATTTTATATTTCTCGGTAAACTTTTCAACTTCTCCTCGTACATTCTTTGTACAGCTCGCATCCCACTTTTAAGTGCCACAGACAGAATAATAAACTTGATTCAAAGAAAAAAAAATAAACCACTTACAAACTTACTTATTGGTTTGAAAATTGACATATACAAACGTATGTATATAGATAAATATATGTATAAAACTTTATCTACGTACGCGCATAATGACACAAAAAAGTTTTAATCGCTATCGTTGTAGATTTTCTTGATATGGTGATTTGTATGCGAAATGATAGGCGAGCTATGTATATACTTATGACACGTATATGAAATTATGGGCGATAAGATTAAATAGCGCTTCAACTTGGCATAGCACTTTAAGTTAGCATTTGTGTATCTATAGATCATAGATAGATACTACGCATAGATATGCAATGAGTGCAATAAACACATTACGAAATTTTTTTTTAAATTTTTTATTATTTCATCACAACTAAAAGTCACAGTCACAGGCACTCATTGGCCCGCACATCAATAAAAATAAACTTATCTTTAAAGTACATTATGTCTTTTTTTGTATTCTTTAAATACTAAACACATTCTACGAAATATTTATTCTTATTCATTCTCTATACTTACCACAACTGTAATCAAGGATTTCCTCCGTCATTTCGTTGCATCAATTATCGATTCCTTATAGAAGACTCTAACGGAATAAACACAAAGAAAACGCTTTAGTTGGTTGTCATTAATTGCTTTGGAAATGTTTTTCTATTAAATTTCCGAAGAATTTTTATTGAAATTCAATGAGAAATTTATTACTTCCCAGCTCTTCTAGCCATGCTTGAGAAGGAGTTGTATCCATATAGTGAAATTCAAATGTCTGTAGATACCTAGGGCAAGTTTTATAGTTATGAACTTTTTCTGCAATATATAATGCTGGCGAATAGTAGCTCGATCAGTAATTCCTGGGAGAAAACAAATATTTTTTTTTCATCGATGCTGTTTGCTTCAATGGTGATAGGATCGCTCAAACGCGTCCACATCGGGGCGAGGTGTTCTTTGCAAAACGAATTGTCCAGACCCTGGATACGCACTTCAGTTTCTGAAATGACTTCATCATTTGATTCAAGTTTATTCTCTTAAGTACCCTTTTGAGATTTACAAACAGATAAAGGCGGCACTGCGGCCAGATATGTAGGACCCAAATAGTGTAGGTAGGGCAGCAATTCGAGCTTGTCATTAATACTTTTGTCACACGGCAATTTCGTTGTCCACTTTGCAAGTATCTTTTTCACCCAATTACTAACTACAATGTCAGCTATCTCTCGTAACTTCGTATTGACAATTAATGCTTCCTATGTCACCATCTCTCGCCTTAGTGCTTTTTTTTTGTTAACGTTTCATGCGTAACAACTCCTTTTAGCATTATCGGTATTCATATGACGTCGTCTAAACTCTGCAATCTAGCGAGAAATCTTGTGCTATAACAATTTCCGAGTCAATGCTAAGTTTAAGTAGTTGTTACTTCCCCATCAACATCCAGAAAGGTTTGATCAACACAAGGAATTCGGGTTTTAACAATGTTTTTGAAACTGAAAATCGTCAGCCATGCTTCAAATCACAATGAAACTTTTAGCGGCATCGCTTGAGTTGTTCGCCAAGTTTCAACCAAAATTCCTATGAATTTTTTTTTGTTATGAAAGAAGATTTGCTGGTTAGTTCCGGGACTTATTGACCAATGAATTATATAAAGTTTTGTAGAATTGTCCATGTATCTAACTGAAAATTTCAACAACGTAAAACATGCCCAGCGTAGTTTATGCCACAAAAAGGAAAAATTGAAACTTTACGATGAGCATTCCAAATTGTGTTTGAAGTGATTACAGTTTTATCATTTCTTTAGAAAAGCTAACTTTAGTAGTAAATTTTTAAATGTATTTTATATTTTATCTATAAGTCTTTGTTTTTTCTTTTTCTTTTTTTTTTTTCTAAATTTAATACTTCTTTTTTCTTTTCTCTTACCACTACCACTGCCACTATATATGTGTATTCTTGCACCATCATCATCTTCACCACCATCATTATCACAATCCTATCACTATGCATAACAAAAAAAACAAATTGCAACAAAACAAAAACAAAAACCAAAAAATTCATTAACGTACTTTTACTCTGAGCCTGTGAATACTTTTAAAACTAAAAAACAAAAAAAAAAAAAAAAAAAAAAAAAACGCTTAGATTTCCCACCGGGTCAACTTTATAGATCGAGTGAGAGATTTGATTCGTCGGAATTCCATAATTATCAACAACAAGGTTTGCTTTATATTGAAATATTGCTTATGTTTTGCGAACATTCTCATCTGCTTTTACTAAAAATTGTATGCGTATATATAAGTATGTATGTATGTATGTATGTATGTATGTATGTATGTATGTATGTATGTATGTATGTATGTGTTCATAGTTATGTAGATCGATAAACTATTAACCACGACTTTTTTTTTTTTTTGTGGCCTTCAATGAAGGATTGCATACAGTCTGCTTGTTTATACTAATATTTATGTTAATTTTAATATGATATGTGTAGTTAATTAATGATCCTAAAGCTTCATATTTACGTTTATGATTGAGTTTTATTAGAATTCATAATTTTACCTTCAGGAAATACATAATTAACGTCGACTAACAAAACAAAATTATTTACCGCTTCATCATTATTAATTAGAGTAGACCAGGTGACTGGTAAGCGCCACTATGTAAGCAGTACTTGCGACACTTGTAAGATGCATATCACAGAATTTCTTAATCTGCGTAAAAGAGAAAAAAATCCGCCAATTTATAGCGAATAGTTTCCTTAAGATTGGAATTTTAAGTCGAAGTAATTTCGTCCATATCTTCAGATTCTAAAAGATTAGCCAATAAGTTGTACGAATGGCGTATAGATGTCAAAACTATTGACGAATCCATATGATTTTTAGATAATACTAATCCTGAAACGAAATATGTCAAAATTGCTTGACATTCCGAGCAATTGCTTTAGAATTTACAGCTTATTTAGTCTCCCCATTTTTCTTCGTAACTTTGAACGGCTTGCGAGAGTTACTGTCCGCTCGGCTGAATACCGATTTGATTCTGGAGTGTAGCGATAAATCCACGTTTTATCCATTGTCACAGATCGTATGAAAAATTCTTTTTTGTTCACCTAAGCAGTATCAAACAGCGCTCTCTGAACAGTCGAAACCTTTTTATCAAAATTGAGCACTTTGAACAGACCTTTCTCATGGACAAACGTTCATGAAAGATAGTAAACACACTGCTTCCCGATGTCATTAAGATGTCACTTATCTCATGTAAACCTCACTTTCCGATTTCACTTTTTTTATGTTTTTAAAGCAATCGCCGAGTTCGGAAGAACGAAGCCTTCAGCATCATCAGTATTCATACGACGTTGTTTGAAATTAGCAAACCACATACAAATTTACCTTTTCGACAAATGAGAGTCGCCACAACACCTCTCGAGTCAATGCAAATTGTGAACGGAATTTTTTTCTTATCAAAAGGACAGGTTTAATCAATAAATTCAAAAACTCCGCTTGCAAACTACATAGGTAGTCCCACTAAACAACTATAATTTGCAGGGTGACGGTCGGAATGTCATAAATATTTTGACACATTTCATTTGAAGGCCGATGCGATCTAAAAATCATATTGATTAGCCAATATTTGAGGATGTCTGCGTGACGTTGCACAAACTTATTGACTGATGTGTTGTGATGTGTAACTGTCAAAGTTGTAACAAGGAAGAAAATTACATTCGGTTGTGGGCGATATCTTCATTTTTGCAAACGGGAGAATGTTTATATTCGGACGGAAAGGTAGACTATGCTTAGGTGCATTCAGAATTTGAAGGTAACTAAGAATTTATACTTTTGAAGCTTGCTACTATATATGTAATATTAGGTAGGCGTGGTGAATTTTTCCCTACACTACAGCATAGTCCATAAAATATACGTTAAAATCTTTGTAGCTTTATCTACCGCAGTTTACGAGCGATTACCAAAAAAATTAATTTTTTTTGCTCGCCTTGAAAAACAGAGGTGTTCTCAGTTTACGTGGTACTGCAGGCGTGTTCTTCGATCGATTTGGCCTGCTTTCATTAATTAGCAACCTTTTGATAAATTTGAAGACGATAGTTTTAGTTTCGCAGCGAACGGATACCTTTTTTAAGACAATTACACTCGCTTTGAATTGAATTTGGAATATGATCACGAAGCGGTTTGTTAATTGTGGTCAGGTCAATTTGCTTGGTGTAAGAATTTTGCAATGCTTTCCTACTTTAAACAAACATTTATGGTTCAGAGAAGAAAAAACCACTCTACTTTCTGTCTTTATAATTTTTAATATGATTGTATATATATATATATATATATATATGAAATATCTGTATATATAAGTAGAAACATAAGTAGATCATGTAAACTTTGTCGAGAGAATGTGTATACAAATCAATAAAAGCCGTAAATTAGATTTCGCAGGCATTAGATGTGTGTATATATAAATAAAACTGTGTGAAATATAATGGAAAATAAACAGAAAACGTAAGTTTGGCTTACAACGAATATCAAAAATAGCTCTAAAAATAATTTCATATTCAATATTCACATAACAAATCACAAAAATAGTTTCCAAGTAGATGGATTCATCAACTCCTTGTTCGGTGGCTTCATCAAGCCAAAGACAGACTAAAGTGGTTAGGTAAGAATCCTGGTCTGTGAATACAGTGCTATCTCTAAAAAAATGCTAATACGACCATACTTTGCTTCTGCTTCGAAAGAAAATTTTTATGAGATTCCCTATAGAAAGTAAGAAGCAGTCATTAAAAAGTAAGTTCTCAGTGTTTAAATCCATCTATAAGAAAACCAGCGTTGCTATTCGATTTTAATTCTTGCATCGGCCACCATATAAATCTGAAAAGTTTGGTATTGAAAATAGAGAAAGAAAAAAAACGACTACCGAATAAGTGTTACGTACGAGTAAGTACTCAGTGTTTCAAAGCCTGAATCTATATCCAGGGAAATGTAATTTATATTAAATTCCGTAATTTTTGATGTTTTTGGAGAAGCTTGTTTTAAAGCGAACGTGCACAACAGAAAAACCAATTAGTCTGAACTTAAAAGAATTCTTCCTTTCATTTAACAAACGCGGAAGCATTTTGCTGAGATTATTGTTTTGCATATAGCAATGAACTATGTGCCATTCCAAGTGTGTGACAAAGTTAATCTGCTTCCAATTTGCTATGGCATTCGAGAGACATATAATATAAAGTCGTAAGATAAACAAATTGCAAATTCAATTTTCACATCTCTTGCACGTGCAATTTGAGTCTATTCGATAAATCTTTGAATTTCTAAATTGATTGAAATTTAAACTAAGCAAATTATGCTATCGAGATGATTTGAATTGATTTATGGCATCTGAACCACTTGTTGCTTATGACTGACTGACCGACTGACTGACTGCTTAGTTGAACAGAGAGTTCGAAAAAAAAAAAAATTATGAAAAAACACATACCTGCGGTAAGAAAATTAAAGTGGAAAGAAGATGTCAAAAGACATGGCATGCTTTCCCACATTTGATGCTATTATTATGGTTATTGATACATTAGGCAGATGTGAAAGTTAGTCACAACAAATCAATCAATCAATCATTGTTTTATTTGAGATTATTTTCTATTAAAATTTAAATTTAATTGAATATTATTAGAAAATTTTTGCGAAATTTATTTAAATCGTTACGAACGAATGAATGATGAACCATTTTCTGCGTTTATTTTTTTAATATATGAAGCAGACGAAGGCAAACCGTGAAGAGATATTTTATTTATTTCATTTCTTTTCGTTTTGCAGCAGCATTGTTGTTTGTTCCATTGAAGTAATTATAAATAATAAATAAAAATACATTTAAGCAAAGCGTTGTTAGCCAAGGCTTTTTTTTTTGCTTTTTTTTTTTTTTTTTGCAATTCGTAATGACGTCATAGTTGTGCCATTTTTATTCCATTGTGGAGGCTTTTGTTTAATTTATTCGTCAGGCGAAAATTCTTAAAAATTTATGGCAAAATTTGTTTACAAATTTACTGAAAAGGACAAAACAATTCTTCATATGAAGGTACGCGAAGCCTCGAACATCAACGAAATTGAAAATATTCGTAAAAGCGGTTTTACGAATAGATGAAAGCCAAGTTAGAATCGTTGAAAGATTTGAGTCTGTCCGTTTTTTGGCTTACTAAACTATGTATAGTAATTAATTAATATTTCTGAAATGTTCTCGCTCCCAATTGATTATTTATATATTTACATGAGTTACTATCGGGTTTTGTGATTTAATATCCACGCCTTAGAAAACCTGTAGAAAAGTTATATTCGGTCGTGGTCGAATCTGTTATACCCATAATCAACTAAAAAAAAAAACGAAAAGAAAAAAAATTTTCATGTTCTATAACGTTGAGGGGGCGCAGTTGCTTTTTTCCTATTTTCCGACTAAAAATCGAAGTTTGTAGGGCGTGTGTGTGCCATTTTATAAGTGTAAAGCAAAAAACACGGAAAGAGAACTTGCTTACGGTTTTTTTTTGCAAAGGCGTACGGACGTAGAAGTCGTGTCCTTTGACCAGTTTAGGTCATTCCCAATTCTGTCATTCTTTTACAAATTTGTAGGCGATATCTTCGATTTCGCAGACGAGAGAATGCTCGCCATAGATACTACAAAGTTGAGGGCAGTCGGACAGCTGATAGACGGACATGTTTAGGTGCGTTCAGAATTTGAAGGTGGCCCAAGAAATTATAGACTTTATGGGTGTTTTTAAAGTTGGGTTTTTCTTATATTGGGTAGGTAGGTTTTGTACAGATACTTCAGCATCTTCCATAGAGTATATGTTCAAATTTTCGTAGATTTATCTCCTACAAAAAAGTTCAGGACCTATTATTGTCCTTCGGGCTTTTCTCTTGGCTACACAGTCAGCCCTTTCGTTGCCCTCAAACATCCGAACGGCCAGGCATCCACTGTGCCTGGCCTAGCTAATTCAGTTTTTGAAGGCACTCAGACACAAGCCTGGATTTTATCTTTCGTCCCTTTACGCACTTTAAGGCCGCTTGGCCGTCGAAGTGTAGGCCGATCCGCTGTCTCCTGCACTGTCTTCGTAAGCATTCAAATACACATACGGTGATAGCGTAGACATCTGCTTGGAATATGGAGACATTATGTCCAATTGGTATGACATGATGGACACGCTGCTGCCCCCTCGGTGATGAGTATAAAAAGATATATAGTAAATTTATCAGCAAAAGCATAATTTGTGTAAACAAAATTATACGGGACCAATAAATATTTCTATCTCGGTTTAGAGGTGCTTATTAGTTCGCTCATGTGGCGGTTGTCTGCGCTTGATGTTACCGGCGTCAAAAAGCGTGAGATAGAAAGTTGAAATTTATTTAAGTAAATTCGCTTAAGTAAAGTTTGAATAAGTGTACCGGTAGATCGAAGCATCACCAACAAGATCAAAGATGTGAAATATTTACGAAACCTGTATAGAAGTTGAGGAGAACGTTTCATCCCGCTGGGGAGAAACACGCTCGCAATTTAAGCGATGATATTTATACCCTGTACGGCTTACACTGTCTCTGTACTAAAAATACTCGATTGATTTTCTTTCACCCATAGACATCTTTGAAATGAACTAAAGTTTAGAATTTTCATGATGGATGATAGCACTGAAGAATCGCCATAAAAGGTGAACATAATTTTCTTATCGATTTTATATTTCGTTGCTACCTGTAAACGTAAAGTATTTACGCCCGCAATCGTTCATATTTGTATAATAAAGTAAAACACAATTTAATTACATAAATGATTATATATATTAACGAGAAAAAGCATTTCAGCCACAAAAAAAAAAATTCATTTCCATTGCATGATTTATAGACCTATTTATTATTATGTTTTAAAGAATTTTTGGTTTTTATTATTTATTATTCTTAGAATAAATTTTTATACCTAGCATGACGTGTTGGTGAGTTTTCCATTATTTTAATTTTTGTTTTCTTCTCCTGAAATTTTTCTTCTGTATACAGCTCGTGAACAGGAAACCGATTCGGAGGATTGGGACTCAAGAACACATTCGGTAAGATTTTCGGATGTACCAGCGCAAGATAAGGATACGCCATTCATCCGCCAGAATACGCCACATCCCAAGGAATTGAAAGCCAAAGCTCAAAAGCTCTTGGCTAAGAGCCGTCATGAGGATACATCGTCCAATTTGGATACATTAAATGAGGAGGTAACTTCAAGTTTAATAAATTTCTTTAAAAGATTTTGTGCAGAATTCGAAGAAAAGAAGGGATAAATAAAAAAGAACTGTTTCGTAATATAAGAAATATATATAAAGCATATTGGCATAGACGGTGCTAGTTATAACCGTAAATGAAGGAATATATGCATAGGTAACATAACATAGGATTATTATTATTGCTATATGTTCACATACTCACCGAATTCGTGGGACCTAGTCTATAAAATACTAAGCTTAATTGTAGAAACAGTTTCAATCAGTGCCAAATCCGTATAGGTGTGGTAAGGGTAAAGCATCTTCAAACAAGATCTTGTTATTTTATTACCATTTTATTTTTTTTTTGTTTTAATTATACGATCAATCATTCAGGCGATGTCCCCTACTGCTTTAATAGGGTGACGAATGCAAACGAAGGCGAGGAAAGAGAAGGAGATGGGGAAGCGGCCGCATTGATTGATTAAATTAAAAATTGATTGAGCACATTAAAAAAAGAAAGTTCTTAGGCACGGATTCAAGTCAATGAAAAATCTTTTTTCTTTCTTTGTTTTTTTTTCGCATCCGAGGCCGTAGAGGATAAGTGAAATAATGTTTTTTTTTTTTTTTTTTTTTTTATTATCACATGGTTCGGCACCGCGTTAAGAAAGTATTAAATACGGTATACTATTTCCATAAATTGTACTCTATGGCGCTAAAAAGAGTTACTTTTCACGAGAAACCTTTAATGCGAAGGATATCTGCCGCATAAGCCTTATTTTAAAAAAACCTATATCAAAAAAACTTACACCAAAAAAACTTGCTTAGTGGATGTGCGCCCCATCGATAAACTTTATGTCTTTACCAACTTAGCAGCACTCACTATCACTACAACCAAAGCAAACTCTACCCTTAGATGGCGTAAAATATGTTGAAGTACCACGCGGGCAAATTTATTTCTATCCTTTCGGTCATTATTTCAAACCCACGTGGAGAATAACTACTTATAGCTCTCTTTATTTATTAACAATTTCTTATTTAACACTTTATTTATTTAACATTATACTACATACTACAATCTTTGAAATATGAATTTTCTTTAAAAGCACACACATACATACATACACAGACATTCGATTATTTTCTGTTGTTCACTTTGCTTTATGCTATTGTTACAGAAGCTCAGGCAAGAAGTGGAATTAAACTCCACAACAGTGGAGAGTTTAGCGATGACACATCCCACCAGCGGGGATGTTGACTTGGGAAACGCAGTACTGCAAGTTAATTCCGAATTACCGTTGCAGCAACAGCAGCAGCATTTAGCGATGGCACAAACCTCACAAAAACAACAAGAGCTCTCTAGCGAAAATTTTGGAGAAGAAAAGTTTCAACAATCACCAACGCCAGGACAAGTTGAAAATGTTTTTCCCAATCTAATAAATAACAATAAAGATGATAATGAGGAAAATGAGGATGATGATGATTATGTAAGTTAAAAAAATAATTAAAATTTCTCGAAAAAAAATTGCAAACATTTTTTTCCTAAATTTAATTAACAGGATGAATCTGATCGTCATGTTGGCTTTCAAGTTGCAGGTAATGAAGATGACGATGACTTCCATAAAAGGCCACCCAAATTGCACAGACGGTAAGCATGTTGAACTCTACATTGTTACGGATGTTATTGTGATTGCATTTACTTTCATTTCTTAGGGATACTCCTCATCATTTAAAAAATAAACGCGTTCAACATAATCTTAGTGATAAAAAAGCTCATGAAATTTTAGCGAATGCTTTACATCAGGAGAAGAAATATCAACAATTATCTACTGTGCAATCACCGATTGCTGAAAATCCAGCTGCTGAACAATATGAACAACAGCAGGATCAACAAAATAACAGTGAAGAACGACATTTATTTGAATCTTCCTTATCACCTATACCACCAATAACAGCTATTCTGCAGCCATCTGCTTCTCAACCAGCAGTGGTGGCAGGTAACTTGGTAGAGGGTGAGTACAAGAGAAGAACATTATTTGGCGATGACTTCACAACCTATGTTTAAATACGTTTTCATTACCTTACGTCCATGTCAATGCAAGTCATTTCTCTGCCGGAATGAATAATTTTTATATTTGTATTCTTTAATAAATTTGAATTTGTATTTTGATACCCATCACCTCATCCTCATCATCAAGACTGGAGATGATTTTCATTTTGTCAAAACATTTACACACATCCACAGCGAACATCTTCAGAGACCCCATAAAATATATCTATTCTTCATCAGTATCAAATTCTTAACCGATTTCAACATATCCGTCTGTCTGTCTCTGTAATGTCTGTAGCAAACATTCTCTTGGCTGCAGAAAAGAGAGAGACAGGCTATCGACTTTAAATTTGGCAGAAGCATTGGAATTTCTTGCAGGCAGGGTATTATTGAAAATTGTCCAAGTGCACGCCTATAGTGTTTACGTAAACCGAGAACACGCTGCTTCAGAAGATAGATATACAAAAATTTGAACACACGTTCTACGAGCGAAGGTGTGGTGCAAGTTATAGTGCAGCACAATGTTATTTTTTCCCAATACCTCTATAACGCTCAGCAGCAATCTTCAGAAACCCCATGAAGTATTTAAGATCTCTCTTTGAAATTCGGATTGCGCCTAAACATGTCAGTCTGTTCGCCTGTCTATCTGTCCGACTATGTAATATCTGCAGCAAACTTTCTGTCGTATGCAAAAATGAATCAATAAGTCAAAGGATTCACTTACAGCGCCCACACGCCTGTGCAACAAAATCTGGGAACACCTTTGCTTTTCGTGTTTTCGTCATTTTTAGGATAACTGTGATGGGTATAAAAGACTCGGTCGGAACCGGATAAAATTTGATTCAATTCATTCAATTTTATTTTTATTATTATTACTATTATTATTATTATTATTATTACTCTTACTACTGTTGTTATTACTATTAACTACTAATTTTTATTATTATTATTATCACTATTATTATTAAAAGCGGGTTTTCGTTAATTTTTTTGTTTTGCAAACTTTTTATATGTGGGCGTGGTTGTTGATAAGCTCAATTGCTGTTATTGTAGACTGATATTTAGTTTCTTTGCCGAGGTTTCTTGGATAAAGGTAATATTTTCACAAAATAACTATTCTTAAGTGCGAATTCTGTAGAACAGGTTGAAACTAGGCAGACAACTAGAATCTGAAATACCTTATAAGCAGGGATCGGAAAAAAGGCAAAAGGCATTTAAATCTTTAGTGAAGAAACGGTTTCATTAATCAAATCGCGCAATTATAATAAGCGAATACTTTGGAACTTTCAGAAATATAAAGGAAAGATAAGTTGATGTGGAAGGCATTGAAAATGACGCGGATGGCCTTCAAAACAAATCTTCATTTGCAAATCTGCATTTGTCATCACACGAAGTAAAAAAGTACGAGTCGATATGAAAACTTAAAATTTCAGTAAAATATTGTCACCTTCAAATCACGTTTAATGATGTGTGTTCTTTAGAATATCAGCAAGACTGATGTAAATTAAAAGAAAAGTTAGTTAAAATTTTTTGACATAAAAGTTATTCCTTGTGAAATGTATAGTAGGGGAACCGTAAGTAATCTTCGGTTATAGTAAGAGAATGGATGGTGTTGGCAGCAGTGATTGCATCATATAGACTTACAAAACGGCCGATCAAGTGCTATAAAGAGATATCACTTGGTAGATATTAGATTCTTACATGGATGTTGATCATTATTTCACTTGAAAAACGCGTTCATTGCGAAAAATTAGTAAAATGCATTTTCTATTATTTTCTGCAAATTAGTCGAAAGAGCGATACTGGTTTTGCAGCGGCCCAATTCTCGACCTATTTTCGCACTTGTTCAGCATTTTGAAACCCTTCGCCAGCTGCATCGATCTGAACAAATTGTGATCAGAAAGCGTTATGGCGGACGAGTACGCTGGGTACGACAGAGCTGCAACCCATTCAAGCTGCAACAGGGTTTTCTTGACAAAACGTGTCTCGTGTAGCCGGCATCATACAAGAGGAAGAGTTTGCGTCTATTGGCTGCTATTGTTGTTTTTGCAATAATACACCGTTCAATTTGTTCAAATGACGCCGTTAGACGTCAGCAGTACCAGTTTCATTCGGTGTTGACAGCTCGTAATACACTACTCAGCAAAATTTTATTGGAAAGAATATTCTGCTTCGGTGTGAAGGTGGATAGCTCTCCTGGACTAACTCATGACTATCTGAACTTGGAATTGTAGACACATTCTTCATCGCCAGTTATAATATGCTATTCTTTTTTTTGCCTGACAAGCGATAAAACCGCGATGTTGAAACGGTTCGATATGGCCTTTTCACTCCATTCGTACAGTAGCCATCATCTCTCCCTCCCATTGGATCATTTTCCGTCTAGAAATAGTTGATCTTTCAGATACTAAGCATTTCTTGGATACTTTGGACTGCGTTTTCGTCTAACTAGTCTTGCAAATCATTGTCTTCGTACGTTTTTGGTCCTCCTTGACGTTCTTTATCATTGACATTACAATCACCACTTCTAAATGTTTAAAAACAAAACCGACAATTGGAATATGATGGAGCAACATCATCATAAGTTTCTAAAAGTGTTTAATGAGTTTCGGTAGGAGATTTCTTCAAATCAAACAACAAGAGTAATGAAAGTCGAAAATGCATTTTTAAGCATTCCATGATTACAGCGAATAACTCAATAATACCAAATGGAAAACTACTATTTTATGTAGGGAAAGCTCAAACTCATCACTTTTAACCGTTGCGTACATACTTCGCATTACTTTACAACTTTCATGAACAGATATCGCTGATCAAAATACATGCAAGCACGTAAATAACATTTTTTTTTTTTTTTAATATTTCTTACTTGTAGATGTTACTTTATATTTTTTGATAATTTTTAAATTTTCGATAACAAACCTTTCTCAACAGTAAGTTATTCATTTTCGCTCTACTTTAATTTCTCGTAGATTTTATTATCCGATCATTTGCATTGCCGTAAAGATGTATGCGTGTCAACGCTTGATTTTAATGACGCACTGTATGAGGAAATTTTAACAAGTGAGAAAATTATATTCGGTCGTGGCCAATTCTTTTATACCCTTTAAAGTTGTGTTTAAAAAAAACCAAAAAAGAGAAAAAAAAATCAATTTTCATGCTCTATAGTGCTCAGAGTGGACACGGGTGATTTTTTCTGTCCTTTGAAAAGTTTAGGACATTTTCAAATTCTTTTAAAAATGTGTAGGCGATATATTCATTTCCGCTAACGGGGAAAATCTGTGCCACAAATACTGCACAGTTGCGCAGACAGACAGATTGGAAGACGATGAAACAGATATGTTAAGATGGGATCCAGATTTGAAACTGGCCAAGAATTGATCTATATTATCGGGTTTTTGAAGCTTGTGTCTGCGCCTTATAAAGATATTAAAAACAAAATTCAGTTTTGATACATTATAATATTGGGTAGGCATGGTCAATTTTTTCCATTATTATACAGGTCCGAACACAACGTCCATAGAATATACTCTCAAATTGTTGTAGATTTGTCTGCTGAAGTTCCTGAAGTAAAAAACTACGTTTTTCCTTCCCTTTGAAAACCAGAGATGTTCTAGACGTGTCCTTTCACTGGTTTCGCCGATTTTCAATACTAATCTGCTTGCAATTATATCCAATGTTTCTGCTAAATTTGAAGTCGATTGCTTCATTTTTGGGACGAGGACAATGTTTGCAATAGACGGACAGACGGACATGCTTAAATCGATTCAAAATTTGATGCTGATCGACAATGAATATATTTTATTGGAATTATGTAGCTTTCCTTTCGTAGTGGTAAAGGTTTTAACAAAATCAATATACCACCTCATCATTCATTGATGGGTATAAAAATAAACAATGCAGGTAACTGGTTAAGTGGCAGGCGATATTGTTGCACTACATTCCAGTTTAACGGCAACAAGTGACAAATGCCTTTCGTTAGATTATTTACTTTTTATAAATATTGATTTTTCTCATGACAATGTGACCTGAAAAACAGGAAAGTGTTTTTTGCGGAGGGAGATGGCGATATTAATAATTCCTATTATGGCATATGAATATTTATCGCATATGCAATCTAAGTCCAAGAATTTTATTGTTTGCTATTTCTTATCAAACAAATAATTTATTGTTACTGTTAAGCAGTTAGATCATTTGTTTTAGTATTTTTTTTTTTTGTTTTTTTCACTCTATCTATGAGATCCAGAAATATGCGTTCAAAGCTCAATAGAGTATACACCCCTTTGGTTAGAGAGAACATATTATTATACGCTGCAGTCGCTTGCGTATGACTGCCTTTTGATGAACTATCTAAAATTGGAAAAAGTTGCGTCGAGTCGCGCGTGTGTGAGTTCTTTGACGTTTGTTGTCTAATAATAGAAAAAACATTTGTTGGGATGTTCGGAAAGTCATTTCGTTTTTTTTTTTTCTTCAACAGGACTTAATTGTATTTTTTGATAGCAGACTTCACACTTACGCTGCCTTGTCAAGGCTTGCTTCTAAAAACTTTGTTTGATTCTGCGCAACAGTTGTAGCCCCATCAAATAGGGGAAATCGAAAGCAGGATATTTGATATATTTAAATTTTTCCCAATCGAAAAATTTAAAATGCTGTTCAGCCAAGAAAGAAATAATTGGAAGTGTAGTGTAGAGAGAGGATGTATTGGCAAAACGTGAGTGGTGAGTGCCAAGACTGGGTTGCAAAATTTCGTTCTGGGAAATTTTGATGTTAACGATACACATTCTGAAAAGCCATTTGGACTTGAAAACAAAACGAAGGCATCAATTGATACAAAGCGCGGTACGACAACTCGTGAAGTCACTAATAAATTAAGTTTATCGAATTTGATCGTACATGGTCACGTTCACGGAGTGAAGTAACTCCGTATTAGAAAGTTGCTTTCATTTTTATGCATTTTTCTTA